ACATTTGAGTTCACTACGAACTTATATTGTGCATGGTATGAGTCTATCTTGATATTCTGAAGTAGCTTGGGTGGATCATGACTGAGTTATGATTTGTTTAATTTCGGATGAAAATGGTCCAAAATGTGCTTTACCTAGTATGGATTTTCACTCGGTTCTTTCATTTTTTTCTGATTACTAACATTCTCACGAGATCCAACGTGATCGATAACCTATGTGTTCGTATGGGCATAGGTGAACCGGTGTTGGTTAACCGATACGGACGAAAGCGAACATTGTCACATTCAAGAAGGGTTGAAGTTGATTACAAGAGGAAATTAATGGCATTTTGGTCGATTTTCCTTCTCTAACGCTAATATATATTAATATAGATTGTGACTGGTGGTTAATTCAGAATTAGTGTTATTGTAAAATTTTACGTCTCTATAGCGGTTTTTGTCTTTTGAAGATAGGGTATTTATTAGATGACTGAGTTTCTGAACCTTTTTCTTCGACAAATAGCCTTTGATCGGTTTCTTCGGTATCAGTTTAAATCGAAGATCGCTTTTCTCGTATTGGTTTTCTGGTTCAGTTCTTCAAATTCAGTTTCAACTGATATCAGTTTTGATTTCTAAAATTCAGATTTTTATTTTCAGATGTAAAAAGAATCAAAGAAAAAGTATGTCTGAGAGAACTACTTTAATCTTTTATTAATGCTAAAAGTTTCTCCGTAACAAAAAACTTTTTCTATCGTACAGAATAATCAGTCACAATGGTACTGTTATAAACCATATTGTCTGATTATGGAATAGTAATGGATACATGGATCGTCTTTCCATCATAAGGCACACCTCCACAAATTGCTCTTGCCCAATCGTTGTTTATAGCTGAACACATGCGAATATATGTAATGTCATGTGGTTCGACAAAAATCTTAGCCATGTGGCAATTACCATCAAAGACATATTCAATGTTGCTACCAATAATTACATCACCGACACAAGGAGTAATCCAAGTTCCATCTCTACGACGAATATCTAGAGAATATTTTGTACCGGTGATGCGTTCATTCCAACGAAGGACTATTTGTTTTGTAATGCCACCTGGTAAATAAAAGGCTAATTGATCCGACACTCCATCATATTTTGCTTCGACAAAATCTCTCCATATGTTATTCATCGAATAAAATAATCGGAAGGCAACAATATCACCCTTGTCAACCAATTGATTGCCACTATCTGGACAGACACCTACATATGTCGTTCCCAGTGTAGCTCCAATGCGATTCATAGCGACACAAGGACCAATTGCTGATCCATCTCTCTTTACCACATCAACAGAATATTGATATAAAGGAAGTTGAGTCCAACGTATATCGACGGTGTTCAGTGTTTGTATTGATCCATCCGGTCGAAATGCGAGACGTTGCTTAAAAGTGCTTCTTCCGGTCATGCGTCCTGTACTATCAAAAATGCCTTGATGAAATACATTAAAGAACTGACGTCGTCGCATAACTATGGAATTGTGTCCATGGCTTTGAACGAGTTTTCCTGCTGAATTTCGTTGAGCAATAGAATGAGTACGCACTACACGTCTGCGCGTTAGGTCGGCGATGGTTGGTGCCATGACATAGGACATTGCATATTGACTATCGAAGAATGCCATACTAAGGAAGAAATAATACTGTCCGTCGCGCCAGAATACTTCAGGTGCTTCGTTGATGTTTTCATCACTAGAGGGAATAGGGAAGGAAGCAGGACCAGCATTGGCGATTATTGCAGTTGGTGAATTGAATGGAAATGAAGCTATATTATTTCCGCCTGGGAACCATACATAAAAGAACCAGCGATCATTCTCAGGACCAACTACAGCAGAATCGATTCGAACTGTTTTCAGACATCCATCACTATTACAATCTGCAGCAATTCTTCCTTTAGGTGCCCCGGTCCCAAAATCCACGAGTACCGGCGCACCAAAGATTAGATTATCGTCGGATGCTCTTGCAAGAAATGTGGTCACATCTTGTCCATTTGCTGGACATGGTGCACCCTTTGATACGCGTTGAGCGGAGAAATATAAATCATAGCCAGTACCATGCTTTGAGAGATCAGGAGCCCAAATTAAACAGTATTTATACATAGGATCGGAAACCGAGGGATCATAGGTATATTTTACTTGAAAATTGACCAGATCAGTAGATTGATAGATCGGTAAGACCAGAGCGTTGGAAGTACCCGTTAAGAAGAATAAATCGTCGCTGACTGCAAGAATATCTGGATCAGCAAGTCCAGGCATAAGCTGAGTTCGACGATAAAAATCAAAACCTTGTTCATTGCAATTTGTCCCTATAAAGCCTTCATCACAGATGCATGTAGGCCCTTGAGCTGTTTGCATGCAGCGACCATTGTTACAAGCTAGCTCAGCGCACGTGGCTGCCAGACGTAAAATAGAAAAACTATCGTCTATCAATAGAAAATATATATTATAGAACTGCACTTTCGTTCATACTTACGTAAAAGAGTACAGTTCTCCTTCGTCTCGATGATAACGATGAAGGCAACGAACAACCGTAAAGAAGTGTGTTTCATGATTACAGCCGTCTATATGCGATATGTATATCTATACATATGAATACATAAAGCGTTTGCACTTTGTCACCTGACAGTTTTTACAGATCAAACAAGCGGATTAGTAAAGCTATTTTTTTTACAAAGTATTACTTATAGAGAGTGTCATACGATATCGCTTACCAAATATTTATTCAAATATTAAAGCAACATAATTGTACGTTTTGTTAACGTTAATGATATTGTTATATCATACTTTTTTAAAAATCACTTGCATATGATCATATCCAGATTCTCTATTAGTACGATCGTAAACGACCGTATACAGACGTAAACGCACTGAAAGAACAAAACTACAACTGCATACGAGTCGCAAAATAAACTTTTTTCTAGAGACAATACCACGCAACCGTATGCCGTTGTAACGTATACTGATACTGCAGCCATTTTGAGTAAAGTTACAAGTTCACGATAAAAGAAATGGTGCTATATTTATTTATACTACTTCTACGTAGCGTTATTGAGACTGATCCATTCACAATCCGATTATCAGGACTCAACTTAAAACTTATTTCTTAAACGAGTTTGAGTGATAGGAACTGCAGAAGAAATCTATTAATTTCTGCAGCGAAACAGTTTATTCGAACAGGCTTTTATTATTATTAGCTTTCGAATCGACAGATTCATTTTCAGTGAAAAAACTTGTATAATTTACTTGATAGGCATAATCACTTTTTAAAATATATAATTCATTTAAGACACGCTGATCGAAGAGGAGAAAAAAAATCAGATGCGATAATGTATCAGTATTCATAAAATCAAAATGATGAAATGTTGACAATGACGCTTGACAACATTGATCACTTAATTTCTGCCGAATTTTTAACGGTAGAGCTTCAACCATTTTCTGCTGATCATTTATTATTTCTTTTAATTGTGGTATTGATAAATATTTAGGATAAGTTTTACAGTAGATGATCTTATTGTTTCCTGAACTTGTACTGATAACTGTGCTACAAAGTGTTATCAATGATTGCCTTTTTACACAGAAAACTATTTAAATATTTATTATTGGGAATACAATCATTCATTGTGCTTAGATCAACGAAAACTTTGACAAGCAATGGTTGATGGAATCAAATTTCAATTAGTTGTTCATTGTCTATTTGATTGTACATATGAAAGACACAGTTGTGCAGTGCCAAATGAAAACATAAAAAGATGAAAAGCTCCTTCATCAACTGTATCTTGATTATCTGTTAAAAAATGAAGAAAAGTCACTAATGCATAGTGAAAATATGACTTTGAAAGCTTATCAATTGCAGGGAAGATATCGGGCTATCGAAACTGCCATGGCAGCACCCTACACCGGTAACGGTAGCCGCAAGGCGGGGTATTCTTCCTTCTTTTTCTTCTTCTTCTTCTGTATCCGTATTCATATATGTATGTATAATTAGTAGAAGCTTTTCACAAACTTCTGGTAGAAGGTTACATTATTATGGAAAAGACTTTTAGAAATGCTTTTGAGAAACTGTTATTTGGAACCAGTTATTAAGTCAAATACCACATGCCTGCGGAGTTTTTTATGCTCTTTCATTCGGAAAAGTATTTTTGAAGCTGATATGTTGAAAAAAGTTAATTTTTTGCATTTCTTCAGATGTGATTTAAGCTCAATTTTAAAATTTTAGGGTTCGTAAATTTCCTTTTTCACTTCATAGAGAAATATTTCCTGGTTTCAGAGATTATATCCGCGCTTTGAAAACATATCTTAAGGAAAGGAAGAAGTTTTTTCACTTTCAGTTCCAGAAGTTCTGCAACAAGCTGTATTTTTGGAACATCTATTTTTCTGAGTTAAAGTAGAATCTCCATGACTTATACATGTTTCGAAATGTATAGACGTCATCTGGAAGAGGTACCGAGAAAATACCAGAAATGACTATTCCCGACTTTTTTTGCAACGCAGTGTATATGTATGTAATTATAAATTCTCGGTATTGTTAAAATAATATATAGCTTGTAGTAATGTGCGTGGAGAGGGGGAGGGAGGTGCGTGAGAGTGAGTCACGAGATCACATGTCATGCGCGAGAACCAGACAGACTAAAGGATATATAGGCGTATGTGAATGTGGATACAAACGTTGTACCTTGCTGCTGTCGTGGAGTCTTGAAGTAAGTATATTCTCAGCGCGTGTTCTTCGAAGAGTCCTCAGTCATACATAGTGATTTTAGTACAACAGTAAGAGCCCTAAAGAAGTGGCGTAAATGAAGCAAATGACCTTTGAACGCTAAAGATTGGTATAAGTGAACATAGAATTTTATTTGATGTTCAGTTAATAAAAATCAGAAATCTATGCTAATTAAAACTTCGAAGATGGAGAAACAAGCTGTGTCGCCCTATTTTCTTCTAAGGTTTATTTTGAGTTTGCGTTTTTCAGCTGGGAGGACGAAGGATAAAGCTAGACATTGGGTCATATGTTCATCAGACGCCTGATTTAGATCCGCATTTGGATTGGAAAATTGAGATTTCTATGAATATATCCTGCGTAGAAATGCGAATTTTTCAATCTAACTCCGTAAACTAAAAAGTAAATTTTCATAATAAGAATTTGTCATCATGTACAGGAATCATGTGTGTGTAAATTCCAATGCAAACATAAGTTACATGTGTGTGCATATAAGCTAGAGTATTGCACAGGTTCGACTATTTTCAAGCCGTTCCTAAACTCATCATCAGGAGAACCCAGGCCGCAGGTCTCTGACACGAATTGGAACATGATGAGTGGGGTATCCATATATATCATGCGAACTGTTTAGAAAATTCGGCTCCCGAAAGCTTTCTGAGATCATATAAAATCGACATCATTTCATTCAGCTTCTGATCTCGACAGAAAACTAAGGATAAGTTAAAGGAGAAACCTAAATCGTGTTGTTATATCACAAGATTCAATAAAGCAACTTCTTTTGTGGCAAAAGATGGAGATCGTGTCTATTCTTAGTGAATTAGTTTTATAATAATTAGTGATTACAACGATTCAAATCAAGATCAGGATAAA